GGTATTTCTTACTTTTATTGATGATTTCAGTATAAAAAGTTGGGTGTTTATTCTTAAAGATAAATCGAAGCCCTTGATAAATTTAAGGAGTTCAAAGCAACGACGGAAAAACAAAGTGGGCGATATCCGAAGATAGTTAGATCACATAGTGAAGGCGAGTACACCTCAAAATTGTTTGAAGGTTTTTGCAAAGAAAATGAAATCATTCATCAACCGACGACCTCTTATACACCACAATAAACAACATTGTAGAAAGAAAGAATCATGCGATGCTTGATATGGCAAGGAGCATGGTGAAAGGAAAGCACTTATCGATAACGTTTTAGGTCGAAGCCATTTTATGTACTATTTATTTACTAAATCAATGTCCAACAAAAAGTGTAAAATTTAAAACGCCAAATAAAACATAGAGCGACCATTCCATGTACTCGTTTATTTACTAAATCAATGTTCAACAAAAAGTGTAAAATTTAAAACGCCAAATAAAACATGGAGTAGTAGTAAGCCCGCGAGTTGGACATCTTAGGATTTTTGGGTGCATTGCATATGCCCATATTCCCGACCAAAAAATAAAAAAGTTAGATGAAAAAGGCAAGAAGTGTGTCTTTATTGGCTATGAGAAAAAGAGTAAGGCATATAGATTGTATAATTTTTTGACTAAGAAAGTGATCGTATTATGAGATGTTGAATTCAATAAAGCGGATTATTGGGGATGGAGTTAAGAAGATAAAGAGTTACGGGACTATTTTTTAAAGATGACAATGATAATGACTTCAACACGCAAAATGAACAAAGTAATGATCGGACTCCTCTACAAAGTCCTACTTTAACAACTCCTAAATAGACACCATTAAAATTATCGAGCGAATAACGATAGCAGATAGCGACAATTCGGGAAAAGCATCCGAAAAAATACGAAGTATAAATGATATTTATGACTCCGGAGAACTTATGCGGACAACATTCGATTACTCATTAATTTGTTTCATGGCAGAGTGTAATCCATTAACATACAAAGAGGCTACTAAAGATGAGAAGTGAGAGAAGGCCATGAATGAAGAAATTATTGCAATAAAAAAAATGACATGTGGAAATTAACTAGTCTTCGAAAGGACATGAGGCAATAGGAGTCAAGTGGGTGTACAAGAGAAAGACTAATCAAGAAGGAAAAGTAGAAAAATACAAGACAAGATTAGTCATTAAAGGCTATAAATAGATACAAATAATTGACTATGAGAAGGTGTTTGCTCTAGTTGCAAGAATTGATGATATTAGACTTCTCATAGTGGTCGCAACACAAAATAAATGAAAGATTTATAAGATGGATGTGAAATTAGCATTCTTCAATGGATACCTAGAAGAAGAAGTTTATCTCGAGCAACCATCGGGATATATTAAAAAAGATAGGAAAACAAAGTCTACCAACTAAAAAAAGACTTATATGGATTAAAGCAAGCTCCATGGGCATGGAACACAAGAATAGATGAGTACTTCCGGAAGAATGATTTTGTAAAAAGTCCGCATAAGCATGCCTTATACACGAAGAAAAATCAAAATGGTGATATCACCATTGTGTGCCCATATGTGGATGATATGATCTTCTCGAGAAATAATTCGGGTATGTTTAAAGATTTTAAAAAAGTTATGACTAACGAATTTAAAATGACAAAATATTGGTGAAATGTCATATTTTTTTTGAAATCAAGGTAAAACAAATGGAAGACAGAATATTTATGTCACAAAAAGGTCTATATACGGAACAAATCTTGAACAAGTTCAAAATAAAGGATTGCAAGCCGAGTAGCAACACCAGCGAAGCGAGGCATGAAGTTGAGAATAAATTCGAATAGAGAGTTGATAAACCCGACATTGTTCAAGAGTCCGGTTAAAAGTTTGAGGTACTTGACTTTCACACAACCGGATATTATATACGTTATTGGATCGGTCAATAGATATATGGAGAAGCCAAAGCAAGATCACTTCATTACGGAAAAAGAATTTTTAGATATGTCAAAAGTACAATAGATCATGGTTTATTTTATACAAATTCTCAAGATTTAAATTGATTGGTTTTTTAGATAGTGATTATGGTGGAGATTTAGATGATTGAAAAAGCACATCTGAATATGCATTTCATATTGGAATAGCACTATTTTTGGGGTCATAAAAAAACAACAAACAATTGCTCTCTCAACATATGAAGCGAGTATATATTTGCAGTAGCACGTACGTGTCAAGCAATATGGTTGAAGAATATTTTGAGTGAGTTATATCATGCACAAAAAGGTCTAACTACAATATACATCGACAATAAATCGTTATATCACTCGTAAAAAATCCACTCGTTACATAGTTGAAGCAAATATATAAAAATAAAATACCGTTTTATTCGGGAGCAAACGAAAAATAAAATTATGGAGCTAGTTCATTACAAAACGAGAAGATCAACTTATAAATATTCTTACGGAATTTTTAAAAACCGACATATTACACAAACTTACGAGGAAAACTTTGTATGCGAAGTTGGGTTTGAGGGGGAGTGTTAGAAGTCAAACACTCACAATTAAGAAAGATAAAATCATATGGGTTAATCCGGAGAATTCTAGATGGAAAACCATGTTAAGAAATTGAGTTGGTCAATTTCTTAATTTTGTTAATAATTAGCTGTACATGGGCTGTAGTTTGAAGGGTCAAAAGCGGTGAGGTGAGAGATATTTTTAGCTGCCAATTAATCATAGTTATCCCAAATCAAGAAGTTAGCTTGCCTATAAAAGAACCAAGTCTTGTTTGTAATAGATGCATGAAAATATAGAGCAAGAGAGCCCTAGCAGCAGCTAGGAAAAGAAGAAATAAAATCAACATATTGTGAGAGAAGATATTTTGTACGAGATTTATCTTATAATCAATATATATTAATAGATTGTTTTTTAAATTTTATTTTGTGAGCCTACAACCAGCGAAGGGATGAAGACGCTACCTTATATCTTTAGTCCACAAACAATCCCAAAGAATATGAATAATTGACTCATGGGCCATCCCACACCTGGTACAAAAGGAAGATGCAGCCATTCCTCTACGGAACCGAAGAACGTTACTTGGCAAGCGCTCTAATTGCCAAAGGAAGAAGCCATGGAGAGCTAAGAAACATATTTGACAAATCAACAAAGTCTATTTGAGGGAGATAAATTTTGTGAAGAAGCAAATTAATTTCTATGTCAAATTTGCCACCTTAATACTTTACGAAGTTTTAGCTTATTTTTCTTTCAATATTTTTTTTTCAATATTTTTTTCTTCAAATAAGCACAAGCTGACAAAACCTAATGGACTCTTGGCAAGTAAATTTAAGAAACTGACTTTGGTCTAGCATTAGTGCATCATGCATGTGAAGCTAAGATAAAACAAATGTTTTTATTGATTGATTGGTTTTAACGTCTAAAAAACCTGATAATCATATTCCATTAACTAATAGGAAGTTCTAAAGGTATAAGTAACTTCGTAGACTAAGATTCCCTCACAAAAATATAAAGACAAAATTGATTGAAACTCAATTTCTATTCTCGAATACGAGCACGTCTAATTAAATTTGACGTTTGATGGCTTTGATAAAAATTAAGTAACTTCAACTAACAAGCAAGAAAAAAATGTTATAAGATAGTGAAAAAGGTGGGCAGTAGTTATCAACACACGCAAAAGAAGAAGGGAATTAAAGAAACGATAGAGGAACCATAAGGTAAGCACATATATATTGAGCATAAAAGTAAATGCAGCACGCCATGACAAGGATCCATCGCGTAGACACAGAGAGCCTCAAAAACATTGCCGTTTTGTCTGCTCTGCCATTCCCAGCTAGCTACCCAACATTGCTATTCTCGAACCAATGTTAATTTACCTAAATAATGACATCAGCTTAACCATAGATGTCCCAGACAGCCTAACGTGGAACATTAATATCAAGAATAAAAATAGGCAGCAAGGTCCATATACAAGCATCCCACCCACCACTCATTTTTACACAACCCAACCATATACTATACTTTTAGCCAATCCCTCACTCACTCTAGCTAGCTCATCCCTCTCCTAGTTACAATGATAGGTTACACTTACCTAGGCATTGTTGTGGCAACCTTGGCCATTCATTTTCTTATTGCAAAAATTTGGCAATTATGTTGTATTGTCTTGTGGAGGCCATATGCCTTGACTAAAAGCTTTGAAAAGCAAGGAATTAAAGGACCACCTTACTCTCTCCTCTACGGTTCTTTTCATGAAATGAAGAACCTTAGGAAAGCTGCAAATGAAATGATACTAGATACAAACCGCAATGACATCTCTCAGAAAGTTCTCCCACACTATCATAAGTGGTCCGCTGAATATGGTCGGTTTATTTCTTCCTTCTCTTTGGTTTTCAATTTGCATGCTGTGTTAACTTCATGCAGTTGGGTGTTCTAATATTGTTTGAGGATTTTTTTTACCCACTCCTGTATAGTGCTACTTCTATTTGAACCCTATATGTTCTTGTTTTGATAATTACTCCAAAAATTACTCGAATATGGATCAATTTATTTAATGAAACACTAAATTCAATCTCAGAGAGCACATTAATTTATTCATCTCTAACTATTTTACCCATAAGTATTATATATAGAGAGAGAAATATAAAATCATCATATGGTTTCACCTAACAGTTTAAATTTATATGTTTAAATAGTTTTTTGACATGATATCAAAATCTTGATAACTAAATAGTTACAAATTTGAATCTGTTATCATTATCTATTATTTAATTAATTAAGTATAAGATAGTATGGATTTATACAAGTTTTAAGCCTAAAAACTTTTATTTGAAGACATACGTTAAAGAGTAATATAAAATTATTCATAGAGTTTCACCTAGCAATTTAAATTTTTTGGTTGAAAGGATTATTTGACATAGAGGGATTCATTTGCAACCATGTAACATACAAGTAGATGAATTGTAAGTGACTGTTAAAAAGTGAGGCTAAATGGAGGCATTTATTACGGTGTATACAGGAGAGGTATTTTTATTTTGGCGTGGGCTGCAACCATCAGTTAGTATCGAAGACCCTGAGTTTGCCAAACAGATACTATCAAATAAATTCGGCTATGTGAAACCCAAACTGAGGCCTACATTATTACCACTCACGGGAAATGGATTGGGCATGTTAAATGGCCTAGACTGGGTTAGACACAGAAGTATTCTCAAGCCTGCCTTTACCATGGACAAGCTCAAGGTATCGAACCTCTCATAACGTTGTTACGAACTAGGACTATCACTTGAATTACTATTTTTCAGGAACTGATACAACATCTTTTTTTTATATCTATTATTTTAATTTGTTGAGTCTACCAGGTTATGACAAAGAGAATGGCAGCATGTACCATAGACATGATTGATGATTGGAAAAATAAGGCTCTTATGGCTGACCATCAATATATGATGATAGAAATGAGTGAAGAGTTTGAAAAGCTTTCAGCTGATGTAATTGCTCATGTTGCCTTTGCGAGCAGCTATGTTGAAGCAGGAGAAGTCTTTAAAGCACAAAAAGAGCTTCAAAAACAATGCATTGCTACTGTGATGGACATTGACATCCCTGGCAGTCGGTAATTACTTCACTCAGTAATTTTCTTCTCTTCTAATACATTTAAGATTTCATGGGACATTATTTTTACAATACCTAGTGATTGGCTGATTTTCGTTATTAGATTTCTTCCTACTCCATCAAACCTTCAGAGGTGGAAGCTAGACAATAAAGTGAAGAACTCACTAAAATGCATGGTAGAGGGGAGAATAGAGTCGTTCCAATCTAAAGAAAAATTAGATAGGTGTTATGGAGATGATATGCTTGGTTTAATGATTGAAGCCTCAAAAACTGCTAAAAAGAGTCTCGAGTTGAATATGGGTGAAATCATAGATGAGTGCAAAACATTCTTTTTTTGCTGGCCAGGAGACTACTGCCAATTTATTAACCTCGACCATTTTCTTATTGAGCATACATCAAGAATGGCAAGACAGACTTAGAGAAGAGGTACTAAGAGAATGCGGGATGGGAATTCCTGAAGCTGATATGCTTACCAAGTTAAAATTGGTAAACCATACAGTAATATTCTACTTTCAAATAATATAGCTAGCAAAGCATAGTTTTAAAATGACTGATGAATGGGCCTTCAATTAATTTGCAGGTAAGCATGGTTCTTTTTGAGACTTTGACGCTGTATGGTCCAGTGCTGGAATTGGATAGAGAGGCATCAAAAGATATGAAATTAGGGAATTTGATGTTTCCAAAAGGTGTACAAATAACAATTCAATTTCTAAAGATTCATAGGAGTAAAGAATATTGGGGAGAGGATGCGAACGAGTTCAATCCATTAAGGTTAAAAAATGGAGTAACTCATGCTGCAAAACACCCTAGTGCTTTACTTGCTTTTGGATTGGGTCCGAGAGCTTGCATTGGTCAGAATTTTGCGATGCTGGAGGCGAAAGTGGTGCTTTTATTATTGTTTCAAAGGTTTTCATTTTCCCTCTCTCCAGAGTATAAGCATGCACCAGCTAGCCACTTGACTTTTTAGCCACAGTATGGGCTCCCCATTATTGTTGAATGAACTTTTTCACTGCTAGCTTCTTCTATTAACAGAGAAAACATATAGAAGATGGAAAAGTTCCCCATTCAGTGGCTACATTATCAATAATTTAAGGCCGCTAGGAAATCGGTTAGAGATGCGAAAATATCTACATTATTTTGTCTTTTGTTTAATACGTACCTATGTACTGTGTCTTTATTCTACTCTTTGTCCGAACAAGTTTGGTCCACTTTTATACGAGTAAATTATAAACTAGCGTCCTAATTTTAAGAAATTAATTAATTAGTCTTTTTTTATTTTAAAAACTAATTATTTAGTAATATTGATCATTTTTAATTTAAAATTATTTTATTTTAAAAAATGTTTTCTTTGCTCATTAATCTTTCCATCATATTTATTTTTTTATTATTTAAAACAAAACAAATTAAATTTAAAAATAGCATAAAATGGACAAAAAATTATTTTGTTAGTATTTTAAACAGAAGTGACCAATTAATTTATTTCTCAACACTAAATAAATTGATTTATAATTTACTCCTTTTACATCTACTAGATAGTACAAGTGATTCGATGTTACTTTTGCATAAAAAAAGCTAAAAATTTGATTGATGCATGCTTTAAAATTAAAAATACAATATATCAATCTTATAGATTATGGTTCATCATTTTGCTAATGAGAAGAATGGAAGGATTTTTCTAAATGATCTTGCAGCCAGCATGCAGCTAAAAAATATAATTTCGTTGTCATAAGATTGAGAGGATGCAAGAATTTTATGTGTTGTATCACAAGCAGCCCAAAAAACAGAAAGACGCAATTTTGTACAGAGTTTGCTAAACTACCAGAATCTCTTAGAAGTGAGAATCGCTAAAGTTGAATCCGTCTCTATTCAAAGGATCTTTTCTTTTCTCATCCTCCTCCACTAAACACCTCATCCTCTTCCTTCCTCCCCGACCACCATTATTAGCCTCCCTTTAACCACAACCTTTCTTAATTATTTTCCGCTTGACAACCCTTAAGGAGGTCACCTTTCGCTTCCAGAATTTTCCTCCTAGTTGAGTTTCTTGCTGCATTAGAGCTAAGTTCAAACTTTTTGGTGATGTTGTTGATGTCTTCATAGCAAAGAAATTTAACAGATCAGAGGCGCGGATTTGGCTTTGTACATTTGAACTTTGTGGTAGATTTGTTGAACCTGGAGAAAATGATCTATAACATGCAGGGAATGTTATTAAAATCTCTCAAAAACACGATGTTGTCTAAATTGATATGCAAATTAATTAGTTTAAAAATATCCGTAATCAATAACGAATCGCCAAAAAAAATCACATTCATTCATTTTAAATTGAAATATTTAAATTTAATAAACATGACAACATTGAAAAAAAATTAAAAAAAAAAAAAGTATTCCAATCCATAAAATGTCAATAAAAGTTACACAAGCAAATTTTGGTAAGGCAAGCATTTTTTTGGGTTCTATTTGGTACATTTCGTAATAATAAAAATTTAGCTGCTTACGATTCAAGGATGGTTGGAAATAAATAGCACGGCGCCAAAACCTTTGAATACGATTATAATGACGCATACGGAGAGTAAAGCCTCCAAAGAATCGCTATTTTCAGCTGCCTTATCATGCCAAGCTTGTAAAATAACCTCATCATCCACGTTCCACACACATACGTGGAATACCAGAAGCACTTGCACGTGTCCGCTGATGATTTATATTATACCTGTGTAACCATAAAATTAGCAAAAAAGATTTTGTATGTATTACCCTGAACTCATTTAATAGTTAACACTCTCCCTAGCAAGCCAGCCTCTCTCGATGGATTATCTTATCTAGGCATTGCTGTGGTAGCTTGGCTAGCTGTTCTAATGAGAATGATTTGGAAAGTATGCAGCTTTGTCGTGTGGACTGTGGAGACCCTCTGCCTTGACTTAAAGCTTTAAAAAGCAAGGGATTAAAGGGCCACCTTACTCTTTTATTTTCGGATCTCTTGGAAAAATTAATGAAGGAGCTGGAGAAAGATGCGAATGACATAGTTTTAGATACAAAATCCAATGACATAATCCAAAAGGTTCTCCCACGCTATCACAAATGGTCATCTCAATGCGGTTAGTTAATAATTTTTTATTTTTCCCTTCCATTGGTTTTAGCTCTAGCTAGGGTGTTTTTGTGGGAGTAGTTTTCAAATTTTTTATTTGCATCAAAATCATATTCTAAACAACAAGTTTGTTATCTTTTTTTTTTTTTTTAAAAAAAAAAAAAACATCTTTTGAAAATATTTTGGAATTTAAAATTTATGATTTTAAAAGGATTTCCAAACATTCATTTGTAGCATCAAAATAACTTACCCTACCTTTCCCTACAAGAAAAAACTTCAAACCTGCTTTTTATAATTTTTTTTTTTTTTTTAAATTCTAATATTATCAGTTACCTTCTTCACACCACAGGAGAAACCATTTTGTTTTGGTATGGGCCGTTTCCAATAATCACTATCGCAGACCCCAAGATAGCCGAGCAAGTACCATCGAACAAATTTGGTTTTTACATCAAGCCCAAGATGAGATCCCCAATGGTCAATAGACACAAGCATGGGTAAAGGATTGTTTCTACTTAATGGACTGGATAGGGCTAGACACAGAACAATTCTTAACAACGGCTTCTCTACGGACAAGAAAAAGGTTTTTTTTTTTTTTTTTTTTCCGAACTGAGTTCAAGAAGTTTAATTTTTAATGTCATTATCGAGAAAAAGGAAAAAAAAATTGTGTAGTCCAACAGACCGTGCCATTTTTTTTTTTTTAATTTTTCATGAACTAATAAATATAATTAATTTTCATGTCCATTATTTTTGGATCTAGCAGCTCAACCTCTCAAATTCCAACGAAGAACTTTAAGATGAATTATAGATTCTACTAATTGAATGAATAAAAAACCTTTACTACAGTGTTGAAATTCACAGTACAAGTTTTACAAGAAAATAGAATCAAGAACAAGGAAAAAGAAAAAGAAGAACAGCAGATAGAGAATCTGATATTACAGAGAAGAATAATCTTGCAGAAGTCAATTATGAGCTTCTATCTTCTCTCTCTTAATATAGTAGCAGTTTGCCTAATAACAAACTAAACAACCTCCTAACTAACTACTTAAAAAACTGACAACTCAGCACCATACACTACGCACCCACATCCCATGTGGCCTGCCATGTTTTTTTATTCTAACCCTGCAACAACCTTCAAAATCTTACTGCTGATATAATAGCCCATACTGCCTTTGGCAGTAGCTACGTTCAATGGGAAAGAAGCCTTTAAAGCACAAAAAGAACTTGAAAGATGCTGTGTTGCTTCAAGTACTCCCATTTCTTTTATCCCTAGCAGCCGGTAATTACCTTACTCAAATCATTCTCTTCTCCAGTTCTCCTATTTGCACATTTTGTTGAATTTTCCTCTTCCCAACTACAAGATGTTTTTATTTTATTTTGGGTACTATTCCCTAAGAAAGTTATCAGGCCGGGGTTCTTTGCTTTATTTAATTATACTCTCTCTCTCTCTCTCTTCTTTGTTCCTTTCAGATATCTTCCTACTACTCCATCAAACATTCACGTATGGAAGCTAGACAGGAAAGTGAAGAATACGCTTAGACGGATCATAGAAAGTAGATTGAAATCCCAAGCTGAAAAAAGTTCAAAAGATGGTTATGGCTATGATGTTCTTGGTTTAACGATTGAATCTTTAGAACCTACCGTCAACAAAGATAGTCCCAAGTTGAACATGGATGAAATCATAGAGGAGTGCAAGACATTATTTTTATCTGGGCAAGAGACTACCTCCAATTTATTAACTCGGACTAGTTTCATGTTGAGCGTGCATCAAGAACGGCAAGAGAGACTGCGACAAGTGGTATTGAAGGAATGCGGGTTGGGAATTCCTAATGCTTAAATGTTGACCAGGTTAAGTCTGGTTAGCTGTCAAATCGTTTAGTTATAGCAATTGCAATGCAATTATATTGTCAGGACTAAATTTTGGATTTTATATTTGTAGGTGAATATGGTTCTTCTCGAAACTTTGAGACTTTACTGCCCAGTAATAGATTTGATTAGAGAAGCATCACAATAAGATAGAAAACTAGGGAATTTAATGATTCCAAAAGGAGTACTAGTACACTTAACAATTCCTGTCATCGCGACCTATATGAGTAAAGAATATTGCTAATCAGTTCAATCCATCAAGGTTCCTGAATGGAGTCTCCCTGGCTGCAAAACATCCGAATGCCTTACTAGCCTTCGGAACAGGCCCAAGAACTTGCATTGGCCAGAATTTCGCAATGTTGGAAGCAAAAAAGGTGCTTGTATTGCTACTTCAAATGTTTTCTTTTTCCCTCACCCCTGAGTATCAGCACAGGCCAACAAACAACCTTACTTTGCAGCCACAACATGCATGAACTTCTCATTATTGTCAAGCTCTTGCACCTGTAATTAAAATTGACCGGTAGCCTATGCGGGGAAGGACCTAAGAGTTACCACTAATTACCTAACACGGTCTTAACTTTTCATTTACAAAGGAGCATGTAATTATGGTGGATCGAATAATTCCACACTGAAGAAGTGTGAAAATCTTGTGTTCAAATTTTAGCCTACCGAAATCGAGTCTAGTCTTTCTGATCCTACTGTAATACAAGGCCTTGTTAGACGGATAAACTTGTTTGGTTCCTGCGTATGGTTACATGTAAAGCTACTTGTACTCGATTTTTTCAGTCTCTGGTTCATTAATCTAGTACAAGATGACTCACCTATCAAGGCTTTTAGTGTAGCTTTGCTCTTTTCAAACTAAAATTAAAGGCACCAGTTAAGGATGAAAATAGGTGGGAACGGGTTTTTGTATGCATCCATATTTGATATGATACGTTCATAATAATCATTATCTGCATTCGATCGGATTAGGTCGAATAAGGAGATTTTTTTCACTGTCTGACTATCCGATCAGACCCAGACTGTTTACCTTTAAGGATAAAAAAAATCTCTTTAAAATTTTTGTAGCGTCTCATAAAATTATATCTTACTAAATTAGTGTCAAAAATCTCATATATCCCATGATTTTATTTTCTCAATTCACATTTAAGAAATAAATACTAGATGTGATTTAAAAATATAAAATTATTTCGTTAAACATCACTAATAATATGTAATAATATTATTAGTGATTAGTATGATTATGCGCATACGGGTGAGAGAAAGAGAACTATTCAAGATCTCTCTTATATTTAGAAATTATGTACATATTGTTCAATTATATCTTTGTTATTTTTTAGAAAAGAAAACCAAATATCAAAGATTTGACATTCATTAATATTCCTAGGGACAACTTGTGCCAACCAATTTCGAACCAGCACCTCAAGCTAGATTATCAACCCATAATTATTCAAGTGTTGTTGCTAATATGCCGCATGTACTTGCATAATAATCGAATTGGTTAGGAAGAAGAAATTGTTACACATATTTGATCTACTATCTAAGATTATGAATCACATCAATAAATTTTTTACACATTATTTAATTTATTCAAATCATATATTTAATAAATTACATTTACAATGTGAATCATTTTAAATTTAATAGCATGATTTATTAAATTAATTAATTAGATAAATTTTATTATTTGTAATAATTTTATTAATTTGATCCATAATTTTAGATGATATACTAAATCCTTAAAATGATGTATCGGTAGAAGTGGAAAAATTAATTTCTGAATTAGCCGGTTTCTTTGAACGACTGTTAAAAGATTATGGGGCTAATGTACTAAAGAAATCTCATATTTAATTTTCCTCTAGAATCTTTTACTCTCTCATAAACAACTTATGCGTCTTAAACTTATCTCCTCTCATTGCCATATACACATATATGATTATCAGTGTTTAGCTTATTATCTACATTAATTCTTCATTATTCTTTTGAACATAAAGTATGAATGGTTATTCAGAAAGTTTTTTAAATACATAAAAATTTAAATATAAGACCATTTATTTAAGTAATTAGAATCTTTTACACTAAAGTAAACCCGTTTGGGTTTACTGCTTAGTTTTTTTGAGTTGATTGAATTGTTTCTTTCTTTTCGTTTTCTTTTATATATATATAGGTGACTTCTTGAATGCTTCTATTTTTTATGTCCACTTGTAAAGAAAAAAGGTTTACGAGCATAAATAATTCGAGCAAAAAATTTATTAGAAAAATGCAGTATTTTTAGGGAAAAAATTGTGATTTGAATTCAGTAGTTGTATTTCAATTTTTCATACTGCCCTTCTTTTTATAATAGTAGTAACTAGGTTTTTTGCCTATACTATGCTACGGATAGGATAAAATATATAAAATTATTTAGAAAAATTATTTTGGTTTGATAGTTTGTTTTATAGTGTGAATATATAAAAATACATAAAATCAAAATTGAAATTTTTTTTTAATTTTTTAATATAATTTGAAATTAAATGGATGAAATTTTTTTAAAAAATAACAAATTAAAGTAGTAAATTTTAAATAATAAAAATAATCAACAAAAAAATTTCATTTAAAAAGTAAAAAAAAATTATTTTATAAATTATAATGATATATTTAAAAAATAAAGCACCGACGTTCTAAAATTTTATTTCAAAATTCATATATTAAAAAATAAAATTATTAAAAAATAAAATTAAATCAAAAAATAATTTTAATGTGAATTTTAATAAGATAAATAATTAAAAATAAAATTTAAAATATATATATATATATATATATAGAGAGAGAGAGAGAGAGAGAGGCGCTCCCGGTTGCAAGCTTGTCCTGGTTGGCTTGCAACCGGGCGCCTGGTTGGCTTGTGCAACAAGTTGCACATATTTAAAAAAAGAAAAAGAAAAAAAAATGGGAGGGAGCACGCTTGGGCTGTGCAGGCAGCCCCATTACCGGGCCTTGCTTGTCGAAAAAAAAATCTTGCAACTTCCAACAAACCCAAGGTCGTCAAAAGTTCGTCGAAAAATCGAGAGTCAACTTTCGGATCCTTCAAAATTGAATTCGTCATCATTTTTTTCCCCAAACACCTTTAAATGATCGAATAAAGCCAATAAACACATCTAAAACCCTAAAAATCATTTTAATACACACAAAAATAAAGAAAAATACAAAATCAAATCGGATTTTTTTTCCTTTTTTTGCCTCGATCTACATCCTCCGATTGTTTGATAGCATAAAACCACCATAGATAAACTCATCTCTTAATGATAAAAAAATCTAGTAGATTTTGGCCGGCTAGAGTGGCCTAAATGAGCTTGGCCGACGATCTATCTCTCCTCGAGTCTCTCTCTTCCTCTCAGCCTTCTCTCTCCACCCAAAGACCAAAATGGATAACCAAATAAATATATGGATCGAAATATGCATTCGAAAATATCGGAGACCAAAGCATAAAAAAAGTTATAAATAATGAAAGTAACGAGTGAATTGTGAGAGGATAAATAGTAAAATATGAGTGTGCATATAGTGTTTCAAATAGTATAACTACAGTAAATAAGTGTTTTCTTTTAGTTTATTAGTTAATTTTTTTATTTATTTAATGGCTGGCTGGAAAGGGGTCGAGGTATGAACTTTAACTTAATCCTTACATAAGCCCAATTGACAAATACAGTCGGGCTGCTTTCCAGCCTTAAGCCTATTGCTCAGCCCACTAGAATCTAGAGACCAGAATGCTATTTCTGTTATCTTTTCTGAATTTTTTTTAATTTATAAATAGTGAGGTATTTTCAAGTAAGTTTGTGCTATCACATTCACACCTAGTCCTCACTGGTCCCAGATTGAGAATTTAGCAGGTTAACTCAGTTATACGAAAGAAAAGAGGAAATTTTGTACCTCTTGGGTATTCTAAAAATATGAATATAAAGAGTACTTATTGTAGAAGCCTGTACTATTATAGATCTACAATAAAAAATAAAATCAAAGGATTTTTGTTATATATATTAGCAATAAGTCATTTCCGAAATCAGGCCATAAATAATCTTAGAAGAATCATATGATATATTCTGACAAGAGCATGTTTTTTTTTCTTGGTCATTCCACACCACAAAGGAGTTCTAAACGTGACGTTTACCCGTAGATTTGAGCACTTTTTTCTTTTTTATTCTAGAAGGTATACCTTGGTTAGAACTTAGAACTAATGTTTTGTTTTAATCAACGTATTTATCACTTATAATTAAGTCATGCATGTTTGGCGTGAATTATAAAAAACTATTGAATTATACTTCAATCGTATTTATAAATAATTTATGAAGATAAAATAACTAAGTAACACGATGGTATAATTTCAAATCAATAAATTAAAAATAAGATTTTGAACAAATTACAAATTACCTTTTCGTTTAATTACAATTCAACTAACAATATACACATTCCTAATTATTATTATTTTCCATTCAAAAGAACACGCTAAGTTAAATTAATTTTTAAAAGTCATAAAGTCCATGCATGCGAGACTATTCTGTCCAAAATCAATAATTTTGTAAGCACGTGAAGTATGAAGGATCATTAATAGGTTGATTAGAAAACCTGTTAAGCACACTCCAATAATATCTTGACATGAAGCATCAAAGAGCCAATATATTGAATTGATTAGACTCAACTCAATTCAATTGCCGGATCAATCCAAAAGAAAGACATTGTGCTTCATTAATTAAAGGCCTAGTTATCCCCCCAATCGAGGTAATGATGTTATGTGCAACGAAAATTGACTATCACCCCGGCCCCTACTATAAACAAAAGGGGAGATGTATATGATCAAAGTTACATAGGGGGGCAAACTAAACTTTCTTTGATAGGTCGTTTTTGCCAAACGAGGGGTTTAATGGTGCTTAATCCTCCTTGTAATGCTGTCTTTGTTATCATTAAAGTCAAATTGCTATTATACTTTTGGTCTCTCAGTTTCCTTTTAATTTTGTTTTCGGCAATTGTGTTTTCTTTGATTAAACATACATTAGTCTACTCCACACAATCGACCAACACAAAAGATCATCAAAAGCGTTTCACCTAATTATTGTGGTTTGAACAGAACCACTGTCTCTTAACAAAAGAGTCGTCAGATTGTTTTCCTCTTATTAGCATGATTGAAGCTAGTAATGTGAGTCCATTGAAGGATTAAGAAAATTAGATAATAAATACAGATGCATGTGCTTGGGTTGCTTTCCTCCCATGTTTATGGGCCTATTGATTGGGGATGCATTAGGGTCATTTAGAATAGACCCCGTCTCTTCTCAGTGCTTAGGCCTTTCAGTACTAGAGAAGGAACGTGGTATGCTCCTACAAAAATTGTGGGTCATTGGTTGTTTTGAATATGGGCCGCTAACATCAAAGTTACAATAGCAAGCAGTCTTGGTGATAGAAAGCTGTCCAATAGCAGCAAGGAAATAATTAGCGAATTTAATGAGAACTTAGCATAACGTCTAATCCCATTATCCCAAAGCGATAGTTGATCTTTCTTGTCATGTTGGTTGTCATCCTTTTTGGAAAGAGATGGATTAAAGATAATGATGAAGTATGAGGCTACCTCTTCTTTGTTCAAGGACATATCAATTGATGCCTCTTTAGATTTCAAACAACCCGTTGATTAATTGGAATGCCTCAAAGTCGTCATCTTTGCATATGCTTTCATTTTTATTCAAGCACTCATTATCCATAATATGCTCTTCTTCTTTTTTCTTTTTTCTTTTTTCCTTTTTTTTTTCTTTTTTGAGATGATATACGATGTCTTTTAAAAGCTACTGAATTCCATATGTACTTCTTTACAAAAATATAATCGACTAAGTATTTGTTTTTATCCGAAGAAAACAATAGAATACCAACCACAAAAATTTAGATTTGATGAAAAAGACATCAATATATATATATCAATGCATCCAATGGACAAAGCAAAAATTTTCCATTAAATGCTTTGGTTCTATGTATCAATGCCATGTAATCAACTTTGTCACGAAACCCAACAATTAACAGTTGAACTGTTAAATAAAAAAAATTAGAATACTTAACTTTATATACATACATATAAACTACGTACTATATATTTTTTTATTTAGTCATAAAGTCATATATTTAAACCAATTTGGTAAACTAAGATTAAATTCATCTGTATAATAAAAAACAAATTAAAAAATTATGACAAAAGAATGTATCGATTGTGAAAAGTAAAATATTTAACTTTTTAATTACTATTTCTTAATAAGGTAGGGCAAAAATTCTGAAAAGAAAAATAAATAAACAAAGAAAATAAGTTAGGCCGACATATATAAAGATCCGGGGACAAGAGACAAGCTACCGCTCGTCATATTCTTGATCCACAGAGGTTTAGATCTTTGATCTTGTGGCATCCGCAATTTGATCTTGCGCTTTACCGCCCATTTTAAGCTTGCTCGGTCAATATATATTCTTGATCCACAGAGGTTTAGATCTTTGATCTTGTGGCATCTGCAATTTGATCTTGCGCTTTCTGCCCATTTTAAGCTTGCTCGGTCAATATATATATTGACCGAGCAAGCTTAAAATGGGCAGATAGCGCAAGATCAAATTGCAGATGCCACAAGATCAAAGATCTAAACCTCCGTGGATCAAGAATAATTGATTCTCATACATCGCATGGGAATTGCAATTCAAACAACATCATGGGTTTTGTTGAAATCTCACTAATGTAATAACCATAAAGAAACTGCCATTATCAAAAGAAAAACTCAAAAGTGACTTTTCTCAAAAGAAAAGGAACAATACTTAAAAAAAGTTGACTTAAGTACAAATAAACTATAGTCCTTTAAATAAGTAATTTCAAATTTAAACCTTTGTATATATAAAAAAATTTAGATAGTTATCTATATTTTATATATCTCGTAAAAAATAAATGATTAATCTTAATTTTTTAACCTAAGATATTTTAAAGGATTCAAAAATAACAGCAAAGCAATCAAAGGATAGGATATGAGGACTATGTTCAATTTCAATATTGCCATTCAATATTTAAGAGTAGGCTAATAATGTTGGGAGTGTATAATTTTTTTTAATCAAGTGGTGTGAGATTTGTTAATGGAAAAGATTTCAAATGATAAAATATGTATCTTATAACGTTTAAACGTATCAATTAACAAATCATCAATCATTTATTGCTATTTCATTTAATAAAACAATATGAATAAAGAATTAAGTAACTTTACCATTATTTTTAAGGATAATTTATATTTATATAAGAACCTAAAAAAAATGGACGGTGTTGTAACTATATAGATCCTATATCTAGTTTTCTTTTATTAAAAAAATAAAATAAAATATTAATTCTACATGTAAGCTAGAAAAGGGTATATTTACTAAGCAGAAACCTTTTTCAAGACAAATTGAGAACACGGACTTGGTTTAATTAGGTCGGTTTTAGAGTAGTAGATGGCCACGTGACCAATCCAGTCGTGTGGATAGCGATGCATCTACGTATTAAAATAAAATAAAATTATGGTGTGGGCAGAGAGAAGTAGCAAATCAAATTGTCACCGTCTTTTATGCGTGGCTTGCTTCAATATCAAAGGATATTTGCAAATCTGCACCAGGCCCCCATTTGGATACTAGCTTCAGACAGTAGTATGAGAAGATACAGGGCATTATCCATTGAACTAGCCAGCTACGTCCCAAGTATCTGGTAATTTCTTTTTCGAAATTCATCAAACAAGATGTGGACCCTCAATGATCTGCGGGACCCGCTGATATTAATCTCAAAAAAAAAAAAAAAAAAACAGAGAAGATTAGCTAGATAGGATGCGGAGCTATTTGGCGACCCATTTACAGAAGCCATACGCTGACAATGTTTAATGCAAACAAAAAAATAATAATTAGTCAGTTAATTCATGCAAGTGTTAAATTTGGAAATTCAATCTTGAATTTATAAGCAAATATAATACATTTTGTTAGTTATGCGTGTTACCAAATCTCTACTTTTAACGTTTATTTTCATACTGAGATTTTTGAGTTTTGAATTACACAATTTAAAATAATTATCTTTTATTATACAATAAATTAAAATTATTAAAATATTTCATTAAAAAATCATCAAATATATAACCAATTATTACAGGAACCCGAACCATTGCGGTACAGCTGCTCTTCTAGAATCCAGAGTAGGCCCAGGCCCCAGAACCAATGAAAGAAAGACAACAAGAGCGAGCATAAAATTACTCGTGAAAGTACGGAGAAGATGTTACGTTGGATTTACCGTTGGCTGAGGCAGTTGATGGGTCCCTTGTAGGAGACACACGTGTTGGAGAGCGCGCCTTATATAGTAATTTGCTTTATTTTTGGGTTTGTTTTGGGTAAAAGCAAAGCTTCTTCTGGCAATCATTAAACCGTTACGACACAAATCTTCTCTGTTATGATGGGTTTTGTGGGCCCATCATTACCTCTTCCTGGCCAATTTCTTAGGTTGGAAAATCAAGTAAAAAGGATTCCTCAGTTTCGTTCCCCCATATTTGGTTTGAATTTCTTGTTTATATATATATATATATATATATATATAAGATGCTAATATGCTTCAGTTTCTCTTTGCTAGTGTAATTTTTCTAATTCCATTTACTGTGCTCGATTAGAAGAATTGAACCAGAGAATCTCCCAATTTAAAGTTTTATGCTGTCAACTTTTAAAATTTTTAATTATGTGTTCTAAGATAGATTTTATTTATTATTTGATTGATGAGTTTTGAGCATATAGATTAATTTATAAATAAGGATTTAAATCTCAATTATTATATGATTTCCATTCGTGTTAAAAAAAATAACAAAACAGAAATTAAGAGAATTAGACATCATATTTTAGCTTTTTTTATATGAATGTTGAATTTTTTCTTCTACTTTTCGCATATTCCTCTTTTGAAAATATTATTCAATTGACACATTAAGTGCATCTTTGCCATTATTTTGTGCTAAGTAAAATTTTTTATTTGAAGACCTGAATGTTTCGATGGTAAGATTTCAATAGCCATTAATTTGAATTTGAATGTCTACTAGTTTTAATCTTCATCAAAAAATAAAAAATTACTCGAATAAAATATTAAAATTGTCATTCTTTTGTCTTTTATACTCTTTTTTATCTAAATCGGCTTATAGCTATGCATCTTTGCCATTATTTTGTGTTAAGTAAAATTTTTTATTTGAAGGCCTGAATGTTTCGATGGTAAGATTTCAGTAGTCATTAATTTGAATGTCTACTAGTTTTAATCTTCATCAAAAAAATAAAAAATTACTCAGAATAAAATTTTTATTCTTTTGTCTTTTATACTCTTTTTATCTAAATCAACTTATAGCTATAAGGATGGTAATTTGCTATGCTCCAACGGAGCCTTTTCCTTCCCCGCCCTAGTCATCGAGAGGATTTTTCGAGTTAATTGAGAAATGAGGCGGGGCGCCCCTCCCTACAATAATTTTGAATGGGGATGGGGCGGGATGTTATTTGCCCGCTCCATCCCACCCAGCCTTACCATCCCCGCCCTCTTCTTTAAAAATTACAATTATATATATATATATATATATATATATATAAACTACGAGGTTACAACTAGTCTCCAATATAATGAGTGAGTTTTGATAATCTCTAAACAATAAAGACATGCAAGAATTTGTGTTTTTTAATTGCATTTGTGATACTTCATCAACTTAATTAAGTATATTATTTATTCGATTAAAAATAATTTAATACATTATGAATTGTATTGTAAACTTATAATTGAATATTATGTTAAATTATTATCTTTCTTAATTGTATTTTTTATATGGACTATTATCTTTTTGCTATAATTTAAAATTTGGTACAAAATAATATGAGGCGGAATGGAGTGGGACGGACGTAAAAAATTAAGTAGGGCATCGATACCCCATGGGGATCCCTTTTGCCCGCAAGTATCCCCACCCCACCTAGCCTCATTGCCATTCCTATATAGCTACTTCTCTTTGTTGTTCTCATTTTGCATTGGGTTTTTTTTTTTTTTTTTGCTTGGTGTTATTTATGAATTTTATGATTCATAAACAAAAAATCAAACAAGTTTTTATACCAGTTAGGTTTTTGGTATTGTTCAATTATAATTCTATTTTTGTGTTACGGTCTCTAATAGACTATTTTGAATTATTTATAATTTATATTTTTTTATTAAATTGAAATATTTTTTTTAAATCCAAATAATTTTATATAAATCTCCATAATTTGCTATTGATGTAGTTTGTTTGATTTTTAAAACATATAAATAAATTCTAATCGTATTGAAATAAAAATTACTGACACAAAATAGTTAGTAGTTAGGATATATATATATATATATATATATATATATATAGAGAGAGAGAGAGAGAGAGAGAGAGAGAGAGAGAGAGAGAGAGTACGTGTGTGTTGCATGCATGTGTGTAGTTATTTATAATAAGATCTTCTAAAAATAACAATCATAAAAAAAATTTGCACCAATTTATTTGCCAGTATAGTTTTAAAATTAGAAATGTATTTTTATTATCATATGTTGTTATAAAACAACTACACGTCTTTCTTGCAAAACTAGAAGAAATGAAAAGAGAAAAAGATTTTCGTTGTTTATTGTAACGTATATGAATAATTTTTTTAATTAAAGAAAGTTTAGACATTCTTTTTATTTCATTTTAAAATTTAAAGTAGTTTAAGTTAGATGATAAAAATAAGAGTCATCAAACTGTCAAGATACAAATATGATATTTTGTAATCTCTTATATGTAATAAATATAACTGTATAGTAAGATACAACTATGATAACAAATTATCTAATATTAATTTTAAATTTGATTTTGATCACATGTATTTAAGTAAATACCTATAGTTGAAAAATCTTACAAGTTAACAATTTGAAAAATAAAAATTTATAAATCATCATATGTCTGACACTAATATTTGAGCTTTAATATTATGAAATTATTGTGTATTTTTCCTATTATAACTAATTACTATCATTACTATAATTTTTCTAAATTATTTTGTCGAAAGAAGTTATTTATTCAAATAAAATCTATTTATATTATATAAATCTGTAGGGTGCATTGTGTTCTTTAGTCAATTTAATTCTTAATACAGAATCATTCAAGTCAGGTTTTTTTGTTATTGGGATAGGTGAGGAGATGAGGTAGGTAATCTCGATTTTTTACCTTTATACAAGAACTTCAATATTTTAATTAAAAGCCTATACTATAAGACTTATCTGATCTTATCAATCATTATTTTTTTTCTTTAATAAATCATGAATTATTCTACGAACAAAAGTTTTATTCAGGATCCTACTAACTTTTATTACAATAATATGGCATTAGAATTAATCTTTTTATTTGAAAGAGTTATTTTTAATTATATATAATGTGAATAAAACTTAACAGTACACACATGAATAAAATAAGAGTATCAACATGAATAAAAATTTTATGAAATTTTATTTTTATAATTTTTTAATCAAAAAAAATTATACAAATTTTATGGATCATTCTATCTAAATGAGTTAAAAAATAATATAGTACAATAAAAAATTTCCTATAATAATAGATGGATCCAATTAATAAAATGAATTTTTAAGTATTTTTATTATTTTTAGATTTTAATAATATTGATGTTTTTGGACTTTTTTTTAAAAGCATTTGTAGAGTTTTCATAAGCAAAATAAATTATAGATAATGTACCATATAGGCTAAGAGTTATATGTGAATCTTATTTCATGTTATTTAGAGCTCTTGCGGTTAATAAATAGGAAAATAATAGAAAAATGGGATTAACTTATTTTTTAAGAATTTTTTCAATGTTGGCCTCTTTTTTTTTTTCTTAGTTAAAGATGATGTAGAATTTACATATTATTATAAAAAATATTTTATAATATTAATATTGCATTAAAGATATAATAGCCAATCTAAATTTTTCATTGAGTTCGTGCTTTATGTATAATTATGAATAAAATGCTAGACTTGATTTTTATTAGAATAAGGTTTGTATTGATGATTATAATTAAAGTTCTAGTACTTAAATATCTAATTTCAAAGATGTGTGATTAATTTTGGTATGTAAAAATCAATTGGAGAATACTTAGAATGTTAAAAATTAAAGAAAGAAAGAAAGAAAGTTCCAGGGCTTAAAAGGACTGATTAGGAGGTTTATCACACCAAACAGGCTTTTACAACTCCTAATTAGATTTGTCCTTGCAACGGCTGACACACAAACATTTACACTGGTGCAGTATTTTAAAATATGAAAGGATGAAGCTTTAAAGTTAAAACAAAAGAAGCTTAATTATTATTTATCTTACTACTCCTTGTTTAAAATCAAGAGACAGCACAGTAGAAAAATGCTTGGTGAATAGTCATGCAAAGTCATCATAACAAGTACTATAATGGCAGACAAATAAGTGGAAATCCATCACTGGTCCAAAATGTATACCGTCGGGTAACAATGAATAGATCAAATTAAAAAATGGTTTTGCCGACAATCACTGTTCTTAATGATGGCATGTGATGTGTCTAATTCTTGATCCTTAATCTCCCTTCGTCTCAAACGTAATGTAAAGAAAAGAAATATCTTGTCACAGCTATTAAAGGTCTTGAAAAAGTCCCTATTACGTTTGCTAATAAAAAATTAGGGTGAAAAGTCAATTGCTGTGGGGCTTGAGAATCTAATTATCTAAAGTATTACTAAGTGCAACTTGACCTTGTGCACAAACATGAGATTAATTTCACTTCACCTTGACAATCAATGAATTTGCATGGTCATGATAATCAATCATGGGAATTTCACCACCTTACAAGAGATGAGTCATGTCATCGGTCGCCTAGTCAGCGGAGGGCCCTATACATGGACGGCCGAGATCGCAAGGCCCCGTATTGCAGCTTTGCTTGAAACTGTGAGTGTAAAAGTTTCGAGGCCCTTCAATAGAGATATATACTAACAGTTGTCAGTTGTCCGCCTCCCGTTATAGATCCAATAGAATAAAATTATTTTAAATTTTTTAATTATATTTTTTACTTAATTAATTTTTTGTTTCAAAAAAAATATATAAATCATTCTTCTTTATAATTTGATTTTAAAATAAACAATTATAATAATTTTAACTAGATATTAATCAAAAATTAAAAATATATTTTTCATAATATTGTATTCTAAATTATAAAATTATAATTAATTGATAAAATTTTATAAAAAATAAAAAATAAAATAAAATTTCTTATTTAATGATGATGAGAAGATTAATTTCTGAAATTATTCCTTTAAAGGTCTGTGGGTAGATAGAAATAAATCATTTCAAACTTTTATAATTTTTTATTTAATTATTACTATTTTTTATGTGTTTCTTTTATAAAATTTCTATTTAAAAAACATAATTTATTCTTATTTATTCATGAATTCTTAAAAAAAAATTGTCATAATTTAAATCTGAAATATTAATTAAGAATTCAAAAATAAATACTTTAAATATATATAAGAATGTATCCAAAAAATAAAGTTACAATTAATGTATAGACTTGCATAAAAATTAACTAATCAAAAAATAAAATTTTATTCTTATTTAATGTTGGTGAGAAAATTATTTTTTAAAAAATATATGCATTTGATCTATATATATTTATTTACAAAATAATCAATAAAATTAGCATAAAAACTATATTTGAATAATTGATTGGTTCCTTTAAAAAATTATTTTAATTATTTTATTTCAAATAAATCGGTTCCATAATGTTAAAAAAAATATTGATAGTAAATAATTTGTATTATGTTGAAAGATATATAGTTAAGTTTTAACAAAAAAAAAAGATTCAATAGTTTTTTTTTATACGTATTTACCATACCTAGTGAACTGAGATAAATTATTTTAAACACAATTTGAACATTTTAGAATATATATATATCGGTAAATAAAATTTTATATAAAAATATTAATTGGATGAGAATTTTCATAAAAAAATGATAAATTTAAATAATAAGAGTAATATAAGCTGAAGTATACATTAATTTTAAAATATAAAAAGATAGTATATATACATACGCTACATGAAAATTAAAAAATAAAATAATAATAAAAGCTAAGGTTGAAAAAAATGTTACGACTTGAGGAATGAATATAGAAAAAAATGTTAAATTTGCATATTAAGATTCAAAAACACACAAAAAAAATTACTTAAATTATCATCAAGTGAGTAGTAATTTTATGCATATGAACAATAAGATAATAGAAATTTTAGGCATATGAACGAGTTCGAATTTTCACGTTACACTCGAACGAACTAAATATATTTATTTTAGTTTGATAACATATACTATGCTATCAATTAATTAAAATATAAAAAATAAAATTTCATCTAATTTTATAATTTTTAATCAAAATTTTGTATCTATATATTTTTTAATATATTTTTTGAATAAATTTTAAAGTAAAAAAAATATGATTTGTTCTTTCTTATGCATTTATTCTTAAATAAAAAATAAAAAAATAAATATAAAATTAAAAAAATGTCTTAATTTTTGTTTTATAATATTGCATCAAAGAAATAAAGTAACAATTAATATAAAAATTTATATGAAAATTAATAAATGAAGCTTTTTTTACCGATGAGAAGATTAATTTTTTAAATATGTACATTGGATTTATATATATTTATTTATAAAATAATGAATAATATTAGTATACAAAATTGTATTTGAATTATTAGGCATTTATTCTAAAATATTATTTTAATTATTTTATTTGAAAAAATTAATTTTAAAATATTAAAAAATAATAGTCAATAGTTGGTATTGTATATGTAGTTGCATGGTTGATTTTTTATTAAAATCAATTACTCTAATATTATTATTTTTATACATCATGACCGTACTCAATAGATGAGAATGTATAGTATAAATTAAAAAATATTTTTTAAAAAATAAATTATAAAATATATATTAAATTTAATAGAGTGTAATAAAAACTATAAAATTGATTTTGATAAAATTTAATTATATAAGAATCAAGCAAATAAAAACAGGTATATAAAAAAAACTTATTTGAATCCATATATAGAGACAATAAATCATATTTATTAATAAATAAAATTATATAAAAATAAGAACAAAAATTAACTTGATGAGAATTTTTATAATAAATCAAAAAGATCACTTTTAAACAATAAGAGTAGTATATATTTATTCTAAAATCTAAAAACATATCGTTTATATTATACAATCATCAGTTCATGTGAAAAAAATAATAATTAATTTTTTAAAATTTTAACATTGAATTAAATAAAAAAAGATCATAAATTGACGGAAAAAAAAAAAAACAATTGTAGTGCATTAGATAGAGGATTAAAATTTTTATTTTAAAATTTTAAAAATCAAAATGAAATAACTTAAAAATTAATTTAAAAAAAAAACCTAAGTTGCAGCAAGTAAACAGTGATTTCACTGTTCAAAACCCCCGTATGTTTTAGTTTCTTTATATATATATATATAGTGATGTAATATTAAATGAATGCATGGTTTGGATTCCTTTCTATGGCTCTCCTTACTCGATGATGCTTCCGATCTGTTTATTGTACGAACTGAAGCATGCGACGCACCCTTGGAATGATGCATAAGGTCATCTTTTATAAATAGAACTTTCTTTTGGGGCTAATTGGCCTCCGCCTAGGACCAGGAAGGAGTACCTGTACGGGCCCTATTTCATGTTTCATATGATTCACAATAGTGATAGTTTCTTGGCTCAGCATGTACTAAATGGTATTAATAGCTTATATGACTATTCGTCCCACTTCATTTAACCTCTTGTGAGCTGCACTTGATCCAAAAAGAAGAGAAATGAGAAATGCAGTACTGCTGCATTGACGCCCTTCCAGGACTCCTGTCATTATTTTTTTAACCTTGATTGGAGAATGATGATCGAAGACTATTCTCCAAAGGTTAGAATCCGCCATTGCCTCCTTGCTGCGAAAGATACATTGTTCTTCTTCACATAGATATCCTAAGTTTCGAGTCTCATGTTGATACAACGGATTCTTTCTATATATATTTTTGGGTTTGGAAAGCTCAATATTACTAAGTGTATAGTCAGTACTCTCTATACATGCCCATACTATTAAAAAAAAAAACAATTGATAGATGACTTGGCCCTACGTGGGGTCTAATTGGACTGCGTCACACATTAATATCAAGACCCACCAACACCAAAAACCTTATCTAATTGCGCCATTCGTTTTCTTTCCCTGTGGGGATAAACATAAAGTGGGAAGTGCTTTAATGAGGTTAGATTTCGGGGAGTTCAATTCTCATAACCCAGCCCAGCCACTTGGGGGGGACAAATGTGTACCATACACCTAAATATGATTCAAACTAGATTCTTGACAATAAGCACACGCGTGCAAGCAATGAACCTAGACGCCCGAACGTTTACGACCTCACTGATGATCGGATCTTCATGTCATTCTCGACGATCTTTGTTGGCCATAACCTAATCTCTGGTCTTAAGCATCCGTTGGTTCAAATTGTCACAGGACAATTTCTTTTTTTTTTTTTTTTTTTGGGATATTTCTCATAGGTAATGTTTGTGAATGAATAAAGTATTCAATAAAAAAAATGAAAATAAAAACAACTGTTGTTTAAAAATAAATTTGAATAAACGTACAAGTTAGAATAAAAAGAAACGGACATGAGATGGAGAAAGGAGAATGTATTCTTTTAGGATAGAAAGAAAATACAAATGCATTCTTTTATGAGAGAGGGCCCCTCTCTCAACGGGGGGAGAGAGAGAGTGCGTTCCAATTTTTTTATTTTTTTTTGTGTTTTCTTACCTTACTATTTTATTCTTTTTAAGTGAATATTTTAGTTCTAAATTTTCGCGCGCGGTTCTTTTTCTAAACTTCTCTGCAGCTCTTGCAGAGTCTATTTATGTTACTCCAAAAGTCTAGAAAATTTATATTCTCACATTCTTCTTAATTATATAGCTATACTTCTTGAATGATATTTAACTTTATAGAAATAAATTAATCATTGAACTATAACATAAGGGATAGTCAGTTAGCCATCCCTAATTTTCCTTAAGCTTTTATCCATCAATTAAGCATTTGAGACCTCCAATAATAAGTTCTAAATCTTTTTTTCCCTCTTTTTACGGGGTTACAAAAGGAGTTTAAGTTTTAACCTTGAAATAATAACTTGATGTTACCATCGCAATGATTAATTGATCAATGCTTTCTCCTAAGTAAAAAAATTCCTTACGCTAATTTTTTTTGATCATGTCCTTATATTTACCCTTAGTTCCTTCATAATTAATTTCTGTCCAATTGCTTTAAAGTTTACAGTCGTCTGACACTTCCCTTCGTTCTAATAAAAGCTCAAATAAATTATCAGCTCTGCTTTCTGATTAACCTTTCTTAACTGAGCTTGTCACATAGAATGCCATAAAATGATATGATATGTTGCTAGCTAAATAAAAAACTGACCATCATGTAAAGAAGTCAACGAATTCGATCTATGGAAACAAAAGGCACCTGATCACCATTTAAGTTTACCCCTTTTTTAATTTATCTTCCCTTTTTTTTTTTTTTTTTACACATATTTAGATGGATTAAGCTGAAAGGTTAAAATCAATTAACTGCCGGCGCTAGGCCATGGAAGCATCAGGATATGATTAATAAATACTGAAACGGCGAAGACAATGGTTGACTAGAAGGAACAGCGCATGTGCTTGCATATGATAAGCTCACGAGTACAAAATGAGGTAATGGAGATTATAAGTATCTTTTTAGGGTTTAA